TCATATATGTCTATTTTTGTATGCATTTGTCATGGGTTTCACATTTGGTGACTGGTTAGCAGTGTGCTGGCCATCTTTGGTTTGTAGAGGAAATCTTAACCATGAACAATCAAGGGGGCTTAAAAGAACTTTTTAAATGCTAGCTTTTTACTCAAACTTGTATCTATACTACATCACGCCACATTAAGTAGAAGCACACATCACAAAATTGCACAGGGATTACAATATTACATCCAGTCTGCATAAAATTGAATTCCACTACTGACCAGGTCACAAAATGGCTGCACTTTCTAGTCTAAAACTAATTTGCATATTGTACACATGTAGGACATTTTTTTACTTCAGTCACAATAATGCATGCAAGTTTGTTTTTTGTAAGAAATTTTGTAAATTTGCTCATGCTACCTAGTTTCAAGAGAGCCTTTTTTTGAACATTTGCAATAACTCACCTCTTGTTAATTAATAGTTCTAGTGCATGCATATGGTGTATACAGGTAAGTAAACATGCAATTTTTTCACATTCTAAAACTATGGCAGTTTAGGCCATATTGTGCTGCCTGCATTTAATCTGTAATGCAGTGTGTCTTAAACGTTTCAATCCCGTATTAATAGGTGGCATTACACATAACACCTATATAGCAGCAAAGCTAATACAGCTTGTGATTAAAAATGTTTAAAAATAGCTAATAAATCAGATTATCTTGAGGTATTATTTCTTGCAAGTCAAAATGGAGAGCAAAAAATCAACCCTAATTTTTAGTTTATGTATACACTGAAAATAGCAACAACAATAAAAATAAGCTTTTGTAGCAGACATATTCCATCTTCACTATTTTGCTACCTTTGGTAAATTACTGGGGCAGATCTTGAAGTTAAAAACCCATGTTTAGAAATAAGTGCACGCTTCACCCACTAAATATAGCAGCAGACTGTGTGCCCCTACGCAAAAACATTCTCATATCTAGTTTTAACTTTACATATAAAAATAACTTGGAGAAAATACAAAAAAACATTTTATTTTAACATGAAAATATCACAAAAATTAGTAAGCCTGAGATGTAGGGTTTTGGTGAAAAACAAGAGGCTTGTAGTGTTTTGGCTGCTGATAAAGATGCATGTATTGATAGCTGGGGTGAAAAGCAGAAGAATGCACTTATTTCTTCTGCATGTCAGTATCTTCAAACACAGTAAGCCACATGCACCCTTCTCTCCTTATGTAGATGCTGGTTCACCATGTTTAATTCCAGCGGAAGTGGATCTGACGTGGGCGGTCAGCCCCCTCCTTTACCAATGGCTTATGGAATTCACGTCCTGCACGAGAGTGGATATTTGCCCAACAAAACTCACAGTAATACTGCAGGCAAGTGACATTGGCACAAAAGAAAGGAGCAAACTTCCCACCACACCGCGCACCCTGGCACTCGTCACACATCTGGTCATCCAACACGTATGGCTTTACCTCCACCTGTTGGAGTGAAACAGAAACAATTCCCGTTAATAACTGTTTCTATCTGAAGTTCTACGAAGGCATTAGTTTTTCTCTGGTTTAAAAAAGAACCCCAAAAAATACCCCTGAAGTCTGCAATCAATCGTGTTGTTGCCTTTATATAACTGATCAGTTATAACTCGTTATCATTTATCTCCTACAGACCCATCCTTACATCTTTAGAAGTACACTGTGCATGTAATAAACAGCTACATCAGAAATTTCCCCTAATTTACCCTGGGAGAGTGTTTCCAAATGATATTATGGACATGTTTGTAGAAGAAAATCAAACCACTCAAATGTTTCCCAACTGGACATTAACATAACAATTAATTCTAAACGGTTTTGCAAAAAAAAAAAATAACATGAGACTACACTTTAATAAAGATTTATTTTTTTTTCAAGTACAAGTGTCTCCGCATGTACTACATTTGTGTGCAAATTAAAATACTTTCTGCAAGCTGTAATGCAGATCTTTTAGCAGAGCTGTTCACCCTGAATTCACTCCCTATTTTTAAAATATGGCAAAATTTGGTCCTACCAGTTTTGGTAATCTATTACTTTCTGTGGCTTTGAGCAGTACAGGAGTTTGTATTCAATACAATTCTGAAAATATTTTTAAAGATCATTTTGCAAGTCTACAGACATCTACAAACACCTGTCTTACACAGCTTCTCTCTCCCAGACTCATCTGACTGCCAGAATGGAAAAGTGGCAGGAGTCCAGTTGTAAATATGCATTATGTCTCTAAAAAACTGTACTGCTACAGACTGCAATCAGATAGGAAGAAGTACATCATAATAAAACACAAAATTAGTTGACATGGTCATTAAGGAATGTATTGTTGTATTCCATATTTTCCTCAGGGCTGCATGAGATTTTTTTCCTTAGATACTAATACCTCAGAAGATTGCTACATATAGACATTGACTGTATGCTCTATACTCAGACAGAATATGCCTTAAATATTAAGAACTTTAAAACAATACTTTTTTCATTGTATCTCCAGAAGAAAAAATGTACACATCCAGCTCCCTGCCTTGAAGTTTTACAGCTGAATAGTCTTCATGTTCTTAGCTTCAGAAGTAGAGGCCATCCTAGAAATGTCAGAGTATGCTTCTTCCAGTAATCTATATTCAGTGAGAGCTCTACTTCTTATTTCACTACAATGACCTTCCTTATCACCAATTATACTCCAGCTTTCCAATAAACAGGTACCTCATGCAATAACTGTGTTCATGGCTCAGAATTACTGAAAGCATGAAGCAGCATTTATTTCAAGCCTCAGCGCACTAATGCACCAAGATGATTTCAAAAATATTAGAGAAACACTTTGGGGAATGGAAAAATTACATGATGTGGATGCAGACTGCCAGCGTATGAAAGTTAACAGTATTTTAACGAATTGTTTGGAGTTGAAACTCCAAAGAAATGTTTGAAGCTGAGGTTTCATACATGGTAAAACAGGATGAGGAGCACTTCGCTGAAGAAAAACATCTGTTAGAGAAACTAAATATATCTACACATCAAAAGAAGTGAAGAGAAGCTACAGAGAACTTAGTTAAGGAAGAAGTTAAGATCACAGACAATGTTTGTCAAGTGACTGGCACTTAAGATTTCCAATTAAGGTAGGAAAAGGTATGTGCAAAAAAATGCTATAAATACTTTGAACTGATGTGGAGAAGGATAAACAGGTGAACTGCAAAATTTAGCAATTTAAAAATACTTCCATGCAGACAAAACTGGTTATGAAAAGAATGTGAAAGAACCTAAAGAATGTGAAAGACCTCCACAAACTGGATATTAGTGGTATGGAAAGGCAGCACTGAGGTAAAGGGCAGAACAGGCTCAGCCTCGAGGAGTTCAGTGAGATACAGACTGTATTACCCTCCTGGCCAACATACACAAACACCTCAGGTGAAGGCAGTACCCAAAGGAGGACTATTTTCCTCATTTACAAAACTAGTGGTTTGCAGATTTACACTCACTGCTTGCTCATATATAAATCAGCAGTCATACTGATTTCAGAATATTTTCATAGCCTGAAAAAGCATTAGTGTAAAAATTCCATGGACGTAAAAAACTATTTCTGAAAATAGCCTTTTTCATACTTTCAGCTAAGATTCAAAGTGTTCCCTAAAATGATGCTCTTCTCTATGACACTTCAGTACTGCAAATAACTGGGTGGAAATAAATATATGTAATTATATAAATAAGGATTATGGCTTACCTTAAGGATTATGGATAACCTTATGGCTTAATTAAAGATGTCGATTCTAAACACATAGATTATTCCCCCTCTCAGATGAACAAAGAAATTCGTAAACCCTCCCCATCATGGGACTGAATTTAACTATTTAAACAGTTAAGATTTGGCACTGCTGTATTTTGCCAGTGAAACACCTCAGGAGTAGCACACATTTTTCAAAATAAGAAAAAATGAGGATAGTAATAAAAATGTGGAAATTCTAAATTTAAAAGAACAGTTGAGTCAAGAAATTAATTTTTCAAGTGTTAGAAAAGCAACACTAAAAAAGAACACAAATTGTATCCAAAAAGGAACTTTAAGAATTCAGATATTTAAAGTGGAAACCTAGATCATCCTGCCTTTCCCTCTCAACCTCTCCAACCCAGGAACAGCTATCTCCAGATACTAATTATGCTTGGCAGGGGTTGTTTGGATTGTTTTGGTACTTGCTTGCACTTTTTTTTTTTTTTTTGGTTATTTTTGGTTTTTTGTTTTTTGTAATTTTAAAAATTAAGTTTCAATGGATGTAAGTCAAATATTGTGCTTCTCAGATCCAGCATTTAGAGTAGATTTTGTGTTGGTTTTTCTTTTCCCCCAAGCTCCAAGAGGCCTGCAGTCCAGTCCATCCCACATTAAGAACTACAGTGTTCCATCACCCGTTAACAACCTACATCTTTTTCTCTGCAAACAGCAAGCACTGCCATTTCAGATGGCATCCGAAGAGCCCTTAAGTGAACTATCATAAAAAACCACAAAATAGCAAAACAACATATGTGCAATTGCAGCCTTCAAAGTCAGGATCATGCCTTCTCCTACAAGACGGCACTGCCAGTCTACCATACAACTCTCTACTGCAAAGGACACACTCCCTTGAGAAGAGAAGACCAAGATAAAAGTTCCCCATGGTTTACAAGGTACAAGTCCATGTCTCTCACTGTTAAAGGAGATATAATTTGGATTGGACCCAATTGTCCATGTCTCAATTTTCAAGTCAGGTGACTTCACAGACAAATGCATTTCAGACAGAAAGAAACTTCTAAATTCTAAAGCTGTATGGCCCATTTAGCATTTCTTCAGAGGAAATTCTGGATTCTGGTCCTTACTCCCATTTTGTCCAAATACTCAAATGAAAGATGATCACCAGTTTTATTTCGCCTCACCCAATCCCAGTGTCAAGGCCATTTTTTCTGTTACGTAAATATCCAAAAAACAGTTTTAAGTTTTCCAGTCATTTTAACAATGGCTGGAAGTCATAAGGATAGCAATCCCACGACCAAAATGTAACCAGCACATCTTATTCTGAAGCCTAGATGACTACCCACCTCCATACCCACTCATTCTCTAGGAAGGGATATATTTGGGGATTCCAGCTCATAAGACAAATGGTGTTTGAGACACATACATAAAGCTGAACTACTCTGCCTATTTGAAATGAGAAAAGCAGGTGCTGCTTCTCTAGAGGAGACTTCTGTTAATTGTACTACTTTCTTTTTCCTGTGTCTTTGATCTGTAGAGGAGACTGGACCTTGAACTACTTTACTTACTCGACCCTTCTTCCCATAAGACCTTTTTTTCTTTTTCTAAGAACACCTATTAATGCCAGACTATCTCTGCAGCTCCTGACATCAAAACTAATGACCCTTAAAACCGACATAATTTAGATGCCAGTTTTCTTTGCTACTCTTACACTTCTAATTAGGAGTTACAAAGTTCAGTAGTCTTCTTAATATAAGTTAGTTTTACTTTTCCTAGGAATAAGCATCTCTAGCAAGAAGAAATATGCATTGGTAAGTACTAAGAAGACTTTCAAACAGAAAAAAACAAGACCTTTTGTATTTTAGGTGTTGGGCCTGACCAACTTTCTGAGCACTGACAACTATGGCTGAAATTAAGAGCAGTTGAAAGTATCAAGCTAATCTGAAGCCAATGAATACTAGAATTTCTTATGAATGACAGAGATCACAGTATTTGCTTTCATTAGAACATGGGAGAGAAAGAGATTTTCAAGCCCTTTGCCTGTACACAACAAAACCAGGAACTCCAGAATGGGAAGAACATATGGTCCAACATATGTCAAAGGAACAAACTGCTGCTCTGTGGAAACATGTTGTTCATTCAGGGGCATTCAGGCATACTCCTGAAAGTAGTGGAGTTACATGAATGCGAAAAAAAATGTAGAAGCTGGCTTGAAAGCAAATCACATGCAATGCTACCACACGCTGAGAAATTTCTTTATAGAGCAAAACTTTTTTTTTTAATTTCTGTGTAACTTACTCGTTTATCAATATCGCCATGCTGAAGTTGAACAAACCGAGCACTGATGGCAGCAATGTAACTCTGCTGATTGGAAAAAGCAACACGTCCAGCACCTTTTGGGTATTTCAGCTCAGGGTCAGTGTCAATTCCTGCGTAACAAACTCCCCCATAGAGACGGTCCATGATCATAGCCAATTCCACTATTAAGAAACAAAACAGCATTTATTCAAACTATTCTTACAGTAGAAACTTAGTACACTTATGTCTAAAAATACCAGGAAAGTAAATTTTAATTATTAATTTTGCAAGAGCAAATAGAACAGTAATAACAGAATTAAAAAATATTAAAGAAGTAATATTAAATAAGGTATTAATTACTCAATAGACAGATCTTTCACACTGTGGGTACATACATTCAAGGAACAATGAAATTGTATGTTTTTGATAACCTGGAACTGGAATTCCAGGGCAGTTTTCTTCAGAGGATTACAGCAAAAGAGTTTTTGGGCAGGCACTGGAATGTAAGCTGTATAAAATAGATCCTCATGCCACAAATTCCTACGTGTTCTCTGCCTGTCCTAATGCTCTATGTCCTACTTGAATTTAAAGACGTAGTTAGCATCTTTTCATCAGCCACACAGAACTGCATTATCTCTATAGTGCTATACCTACCATAGATACTGAAGTCCAGAGAAACAAAAATTTCAAATTGTACAGATAAAGTACATTGCCAATCCTCTGACTTCCAGATTATACTGAATTCAGTTGCATTTCACTGGAGTGGAAAACACTGGTTTTTCAGAATTAGTATCCTCTGTATTAGGATACAGAGGCATCAGAAGTCCTTGATGTTCAATAGCTGTTTGAAGAGTCTCCTTAAGTTTTACTGCTTTTGTGAAGTCATTATTCTTGTTTCACAATGCCATAAAAGTTTCATTTTCACATATACAGGGCATTTGTGAACTGAGCATAAGGATGCATCCATTAAATTTATCACGGACATTCAGCACAGTAACATGGAGTACTGGATTGAATTTAAAGAAAAAAATAATCTGCAGTTGGAACATACTGTGTTTATGCTCATTTACAGAGCTCATATTACAGTCAAGAGTCTTAAAAATAAAATACTAAAAAAAGCCTGAGCATTGGAGGTCCAAGATAGAAAAATTTAAGATCCTTTGTATCCCAAATTTGCACTATTGCTTCTCTGTTTTCTTACATCTTCCATCTAAAAGCTTATCTTTCTCTAAGAATAAAATTCATTAATAACTATGGAAGACTAATGAAATCTGGAAGTCATTCTAATAACAAAGGGAATTTGAACCACTGCATGGTATGCTTCTACTTCCAACATTCACTGCAACCTACTTACTAGAAAGCCACCTAAAACATTGTAAAAGGCTACTACAGCCAATCTGAAAAAGCAGACTGTCCAGGCTGTACATCAAGTATTCCACAGCTATAGAAATATTTACTTTTTTCTCCACTCCTCTGGCAAGAGTCTAGAAGGAGTCCTGCAATCCCATACAATGTTGTGCCAGCTCTCTGAATTTCTTCCTTTTTACTCTATGCCTACTTGTTCAAGTACTCCATCACCTACCTTTGTTTGTGTGTGTAACCTGACAGCAGCAGAAGAGTAGCTAATGCACAATGACAAGCAGGAACAAATACCACTCCATTGTCATGGAGCAGGGCAGAGATGTTTCTACAGCATTATTTTAAAACCAAACTCTTTATTTTAAGCCTCTTGTGACACAGCTTACTTACAGGTATAGAGAGGTAACTTTCTAGTAAATCTGAATGATGAACTGTGATTTATGGCCAAAACCAGACAGTAGAGAAATTTAAGGATACATTGAATACTGTACTGCAGTTAAAACTACCAAGACTGTTCAATCTGTCTGTCTGTCTATCTATCTCTATACATAACTACAACAAATTATACATTGTTATTATTAGAGATTATTTCTAGTAATTTCTTACTTAAAAAAATTTCCACAGATTCTACTCACCAGCTCTTAATGGCCTAGGGACTCCTCCAACAAAAATTGTTTTCCGAGGATCAAGTGGCTGCGAACCATCCATGACAAAGTCACTATCACTTAGATTCCAGGGACGGATCTGAACCTATTGAATTGGGAAAGAAAATAGTATCCTACTTTAGGTTTCACTACAATGTGGAAATATGTTCACCAGCCTGTATAAATTGTCAGTCATAACATCATTACCACAGCATGTCTAGGTGCTTTGTTTTAATCCTATTAATTCAAAATACTACAGTTTTAAAATAATACAAGTGTTGAGCTCTGCCAACAGTAGTTTACTTTTGATTTTTTCCATCTTCATAATTTCCAATGCTGCTTTAGACAGATGGCAGCCATAGCCTGCAGGCCATTGACTGCGTACTTACTGGCTTGTCCTTGATAGTGGGGCTGGAAACACAGAGATAGAGCTTTCCATCTTCTTCAATGCAGGCATCAATCAGAGCCTGAACAGAACTCTCTTCTTGGAACAGGAGGAATGCATAACCTGGAAAAAAAAAACCCAACCAATTGATATATTTTCTCTTATCTTTATTTTACAGAATCATCTTTACCACTCATTTTTCCATACAAAAACAGAAGAAAGTCAAAATCATATTAGCCATCTTTTTTAACCATGTACTATATTGCCACAGTTAACAGAACTTCCATCTGTAAAATAATTGTCAGAAGAGACTAATAACCAAATAAAAGTAAACATGTCTGCTCTATCATGCACTGAAAGTCTAGGCTAAACAACGTTCATTGGCTGCAATGGATATCATACAATGAAAATCCAACTTGGCAAAAACGACTAATCTCTATTCAAGAGATTAGATCAAAGTATTTTATTACGTAAGTGACCCAGCAAACCTTTCAAACACTAAAAAAGGAGAATTAAAATGCTTATTTAATGCTACATAAAACCAAACAGTCAGTCAGGCAAAGAACCTGACACTCTACTTTCACAGTTACAGTATGAGATACACTGGATTTGTTACTTTACAAATAAACCAATAGCATAATTAGGGCTGTATACTAAAACAAACTTTAAAGGGACCATAACTCACATTTCTTTCTGAGATTACTACCAAGTTTAGAATTTTCACAAAAATTCATAGTTTATGACTTTGATGGAGAAGTAAATGCTGAAGCAGCTGCTCTAGAATGGGCTTAGGAAAAGGGAACATGAATGCATTGCCAAGCCTTTTGGAAATCTTGCTAAATTTCTGAGAGAAGCTAATTAAGCTTCTCCTCATTGCAAACAGACACTGTAGGTCATCAAGGCAAAGGTGGTAGGATGTATCTTGAAGACCATTAAAGAATCAGTGCAGTAGCAATGTAAGATTTAAGAAACAAATGCACAACTGATTTTAGACATGTGGGAACAAGAACAGGATTTTAAGAAAAAGCTGTGAGGTTTATACTGGTCTTTCTAATAAGTTGTAGTGTATTTCTTACCCCTCATACCAAAGTCCCATCACAGCTACACAAAAGGGACACATGACAGGATTTTATGTATTCTATATTATTATGAAAATATGATTTAGTTTTGTAACAAATATGTCACAGGGAATCTTTGGACTTGGACTGAAGCATTTTCTTGTAAAGTCTATTCTTCATTGCTGAACTGTGTTTTTTTTAATGATGACCTATTTAACTTAAGCTTAATCAGTAAAAAATTAGATTCAAAATCTATTTTAATGGGGGTATATTTCACTATTTACAATAGAATTAAAAATCCATGTATTATCCATGCAAAACTCAGTGAATGAGGGCATGTGCCCTCATGGGTGAGGTAAACTCAGCCATGAGATGTTCTCATGGGTGAGATAAGCTCCATGTAACTGTCCCTACTTGGTCAGAAGCCAGGCACACACATTCCAGTTTGAACGGAAAGCTCAGTTCAAGAATGATGGTAGTGCAAAAATTTGATTCATCAAAGGGAGGGTTAATTGCACAATACTGTCTAAGGAACCAGACAAAAAAAACATTTTACAGATACTGATTTTTTCATCAGTTTGTCTCCTAATGCAGTTCAAAGGTACTGCCATATAGCTCCAGATACACAAGATTGGTAAGTGCCTCCCTATAATATACCACCTCTACACCTCAGCTATTAATATGCTTAACTAGAGCAACTTGCAAAAAGATAGAAAGTTCAAGTACAAGAACTCAAGGAGTGGTAAAGATTATTACAGATTTCCCAGAATATTCTGAGTTGGATGGGACACACAAAGATGACTGAGTCCATCTCTTAAGTGAATGGCCCATACAGAGATTGAATCCGCAACTTGGATTGTTATTAGCACCATGCTCTAAAATACTAATCTCAGGGTCACATCATACTACCACTCCTGACATGGAAATTAAAGCAACAGAAAAACCATATGTTAATACTGCTTTCTCAGCCTCATGTAAAAAACATGTACTTATGTCTTGGTTTATCCCACTTAATTGAAAGCCTCAGAAAGCCTTGTGGCATGAGCTCAGCTGTACTACTCCTCTCTGAAGTCAAAGTTAGCCTGTACCATCAAACTGGTCTGTCTGTAGCTTCACTCTAGAGCTCTAGACCTTCAATGATCCACAATGCTCACTTAAGAGATGGATTGTGGACCACTAAAACAGAAAGCCCATCAGGTAAGTCTGAAAAGCCTAGCTGTTTCAAGAGTCCTACCTAACTAAAACTTTTCCTTGTTTCATATTCATTATATAAAGATCAAAAGCAAAGCATTCTAGACTAGATTCATGCTAACACGATTTTCTTAGCAAGGAAAAAAGTTCTTAAGTTCTTTATTTCACAGTAATATGAAAGTTTACCAGTGGGAGAAAAGATGCCTCTTGTCATGCATATTCTGTGCAGAAATCAGAGAGCAGCTTGAAATTCTATCAACGTCCAGCTACTAATTCCTGTCACTAATGTCTTAGAGGAGGAGTCAAGAAAAATCAGTGCAAGCCAGCATGGCACTGCCATGTAGTAACATGCTAGTGACTGCAGTGGTGTTTTGTGTTGGGGCTGGTTCCTTCACTGTCCGGATAGACTCCCCACAGGTGGCAATAAATGGCCTCAGTATAGTGCAATTATTGCCTAGAGAATGCTGCACCTTAAATCATGAAGAATCAGTCCAAGCTGCATGTTAATATAGACAATGGACAATATGCAGTCCATCTTTCAGTTTTTCATTTAGTCATCTTTGATGGAGAATAAACTCCAAAACACATGTGAAGTGATAAAACATGTGATAAACATGTGAAGTGATGCCACACTATATTTATGAAATCCATGTATCTGGTCGTTTAGATATCCTCAGTTTAGGTAAACCAATCAAGCTCAATGTGCTTATATTACAGTGACCTGACTTGCCCTCTATACTTCACTAGCCAGATTCACATCGATTAAAGGAAGCTTATTCACTAATCACACATGAAGATACCTACAGTTACTTGCCTGAATCCCAAGTTTGATCCTATTCAGTGTGATCAAATTAGCTGGTAACAAGTTCAACAGAACTTATATGGACCTGGGGTTTGCTTCTGAAACTAGAAGCAGAACACTTCCAACCTGAGTTTTTCAGCTAGTCAGCGCTGAGATAGCAATAGGGAACCTTGAATAAAAAAGCTACTGCACAACTGTTGTGATACAAGGCAGCAGAAACAACCAGTGAGAAAAGGTTGGGGACACTGTTCTGTTTAAATCAGATTATCCTCTGAGACAGACTATTTATAGTACAGAGGACACAAACAACTGCACGTATTTTGGAAGGCATTTTTTGAATTTCCATATCCTCAAGGCACCACTTCTTTGAGAGCTTCATTATCACAAGGAGGAGTCCTCAACCCAGCAAGTTACTTTGGACACGTGTATTGTTTCATAAATAAGTGTATTTGCCAGCTACGTAATAACATGAGTTATGATAAACAGTGGCAAGACAGAAAGGAAGGAATTCTACATTCCAGTTGGCAGATCACTGTTACAGACTTTGTACTTTGAACTCAAAGGAGGGTTTTTTTCAGAACAGAGCTTCCTTGTAAGATCAGTGTAAAGTTGTAAAAAATCCTGTTATGTTTGGATCTAATTTTGTGGTGAACCAACACACAATATAATTAGTTAAGAAGAAGCAGTTGGTGTTTCTCAGGAGGCAGCCAGACTTGATGGATCGAGACACTTTCTGAATTTCTTTCAGCAAGGAAACACTTATTATGAACTTGGCCTTCCCTCAGGACCTTCTGTAAGCAGAGACCTTGGAAGAAAGCACAGCCTGGAAAACTGAACAGTAAAAAAAAAAACCAGGCTGCATCTCTTCACCACTGAGAAGACTTAATGAATCAGTCCAGAATGGTCAAATTCTGAGATGTCTTTGGAAAGCAATACTATGGCAAATCTCTAATGAAAATACAGACATTCTTCTCAAAGGAAAATACAGACACTGAATTAATTTAATGCAGTGATAATCAAGAAAATAGAGATTGAAAATAATAAAAAACATTAGTTCCCTGAAGTAATATAGTATATATTTCTCAACTGGTAATTACTGATTGATCTTAGAGCTTTATTTTGCACATCCTTAGCCATTTCAGACATCTTATTAATGTATGTATACTTGGTTCTTGTCTGTCCACACAAGTAATAGTAATGTAAGACAATTTTAAACAAAATTCTTCTACAAAATGGGTCATATATATTGCATTGAACAAAAGAGATATATACACAGTAACACTTGGCAGTTGTATGTTTCCAGAGTATTTACAAAGAGAAATCTACACTGTATTTTAAATGTGTTAGGCTACACACAAAAAATACTGAGTAGTGCAGCAAACTGAAAATTAGGCTGAAGTGTTAAGATAGAAGAACAGTAAATGCTTTTATTTTTCAAGTAAGGATCAGCTAATCATGGGAAATCAACTTAGAACTTAGGTAGCAAATGTTACCTGAATTAATTAGATCGACACACTTAAGTTCTTCTATTTGTATTCTCTGTCTTTAATAAGCTCTGCTTACAAAACAGTTTGGGTTTTTTTCTTACTGCGGTAATTATAAACAACCCAACTATATCAAAAAGCTTTATCAAATAAGGAAGTCTGGAAATACATCCTTAAGATGTTCAGATGCTGAGATAGGATGATCTCCTTGGAAACAAATGCCAGAATCCATTCCTTTCAGGTAAGAATATATTACATCTTCTGTCTTCTATATATTTATCACAGACTTTGTGAGATGCATCTTCTTCAAAGAGTTCCTTGGGAATTTCTCTTGGTAATTTAAGAAGAGAGATGCACTCTTTAAGATAATCAAATTTAACTTGACAGTAGCTTTGTGTGCTGGGCTGACAATCAAAAAAGCCAAAGTCTCTTTGTTTGTCTTAGAATTTCCTTGTAGCATTCCTAAATGCTATTCAAATGCTTTCAATTTCATTTCTCACTCCTTAGAGGGCCCATCGGGGATAATAATCTTGTCTTTTCCCTGGCATAGACGCACAGATAAATAAAGAATCAGTTTACAAAAGAACTATACCTACATTTGTCACTTCATAGAAGGAATGAATTGCTGCATTCTCTACAAAACCAATAATCTCTGCATTGCTTTCATGTGTGGATCACAATTCTGCATTTATTTTAAATGTAATAATACATGGTTGTACATGTATAGATATTTTATGTAATTTACTTAATCTACAGAATGGGTTTTCCAACACTTTGTAAGAAATAGTAAAAAATCTAGAATTTTAGCAATACTAGAAATAGCAATAGAATAGCAATACTAGAAATAGTTTTTTAAAAAAATCAGTATTTAATCATTTATCAGAAAAGATTAGAGCTTCAACAGGAAGCTCACATCCTAAAAATGCAAGATGCACAGTATTTGGTTATCTTGACTGGATAAGCAAATGCATCCTTCTGCATCCTGCATTTAACTTCTTAAGAAAATATGGAAGATTTTGTCTTAAAAATATGATATCAAATTTCAGTTTTAGAAACTATTAGGAATGCAAATACGGAACTGATGATCAATGATGCATACAACTACAGTGTTGACCTGATCAGGCTCAGTAATAAAACAACAGGTTTTAGACTCAGTATGTAAAAGGAACCATACCTGGACCTGCACTGCAACAACAGATTGGACTGTTCACAGGGACTCTACATTATACACTTTTTCAAAAGACAAGACAAAGTTTCCCAGAGCAAGATTTGCACTCAGTGACATATCAAAACCTTCTAACTATCTTACCTTTTGGTGGAAAATAGGACTTGCTCTCTGCTTTGTGAGGCCAGTCTACTACCAAGGGCCCAAATCTTCTGAAGCTGGCAGTAATTTCATCTAAAAACATGTACAATAGTTGCAATTAAAGTAAATTGCATAACTCAATGAAAAAATATTATCGAGCAAATACTGTCAACCTTTGTTTCTAGCAAAGGTTGACATTTCATGGAAAAAAAACAGAACAAAATTTACACATTTCATAAACATAAAACTTAAATAGATGAATCTTCCAAAGTGTTAATGTTTACATAATGCATTTCTGGTGATTTTAATCTTACATTTGTTTTTTATTGCTTTAAAACAGAAGCATTTCAGAAACATATGGGAAACTAAAGCCATTCGTGAAAACTTGTATGGTACTTCTCTAAATTCAAATCAGAATCTGGTTTGAATGAAATCAAATCAAACACCACTGTTTAGTGATGTACAGTTCAGAGTTTCTGAAGTAGATATTTATATACCAAGTAACACCACAATTAACATAGTAGCAGTTTCCTCTATATAGGAAATATATATAGGATATCTGCCCTATAGTAGACACTATGATGCAGAGATAGAAATTTAAAATTGTCTATTTAGAGGTGCATGAATAGCCTTGTTGCAAGATCTACAATGCCCCTTGCACAGCTTTATGAGCTTTCTATCCCAGCCACACCTACATGTCAGTGACTGGAAAAGCCTTGACCATGGGTTAAAAATACTCTTAACTAAATAAAAGCAGCAACTCAAACACAAGTATGCTTAATTTCTTTCAGTCATATCCTGTCATCATCATATATACAGGGAGGAGAGAAATAAAATGTATTTCCATTGTCTTTTTGTTTAGCATTTGTATTATATAGGCTGAAGTGCACTGAAATAAATCCCACAGTAGATTGTAGGGGAGAATCTCAATGAAAATGGAACCAAAATCTGGTCTTTGCATGTCTGAAAGTTAATTAAATGCAGTCAGCTTATTTGGTTTGCACGTTATTCGAGGATTACCATGAACCTCCTAAAGGGACTTCTGTTTACATCAGAAAGTTAACATGCAATTTATATTTATCTGCACTGGAGAAACCTCATATTAAACAGCACTATTACTTCAAATTACCACTGGTGTACAAAGCCATTTCAACTGCTTAACAATCTGAGTTTCTGTAGTGCAGTCTCTGTTCAATGCATCGAGAGTGTTCTGCCACTTGACCTTGCTCTAAGTTTCTCAATTTCTCATCAGGATAACATTAACCTTTCTGTATCACTGCTGAGATCTTCAGGTACTAGTAAAATAGAATATGAAATTCATTTACAAATGGAAACTTCCTATGACTACAGAATAAAGATAGAGGAGGGATAAGATGCATTTGAAAGGAACATGCAATATAAGCAGGAACATGCACTCCAGGCATTACATGCAACTGTAATATGCACGTGCAGAATCAGAAACAACTGCACCATCACAAAACCAAAAGAGATGACACTAAGCTCAACACACCCATCGACTTACATAAAAAACATACAGTTACAGCACAACAATATTTTGCTGAGTGGCTTATTTTTACTACTTAAGTCAGGTTTTTCATGATTTCCTTTTGTCTCTCCCTCCAAACTTAATCTGCTTGGTTTTCAGGCAGCTCACCTTCATCAATATCCGGTGGAAGACCACCAACGAACACTTTCCGAGAAAAACGCTCAATTCGTTCTCCGTTCTGATGAGCAGAATAGCAGGTAGGGGAATTCAAGACTCCAACTTGATCACTATGACCATCGTCCAGCAAGCCATCATCTATTGGGAAGAGGGAAGAACGGCCTTAAAAAGAAAAGATAATAATGTACATTAAAATAATTTTGTGGCAGTACATCATCGTGCAGTTTTAGGGAAGGGGGGAATAGCAGTCTGGAGAGTGAAAATGAAAAGTTGACATTAGTTTAAAGAAAAATTAGGAAAATGGAAAATTGTATTAAACTTCAAAATGGAATTTCAAGATTGAAAGCTGAAGTGTAATACTTCATATTACATTATATGGTAGATGCTGTGCTGCATCCAGTAGAAAAGTGGTAATTTTGTTTTAATTAAAGGGTCTTATTTATGAAAAGAAAATATTACAGACTGCTTAAGTGAGTTTTGTTAGTCTGCCTTTGGTTCAGCTTCAAGTTAAAGTATAACTCCTCCACCTGAATGACCACAGTGTGTCTAAACCCCTTAAAGTTTAATTGAACAAGAAAAGAAACATCACAATCACAACAAGTTTCAAACATGTAGTTCTAAAAGTATTGGATGCTGTTAACATAAGAATATATTCAATTTCTAAGAAAGTAAAAGAGAATTTTAGTACATGTGCAAAATGCAACACTTGAAAAATGAGTCAAAATGCTGATTTATCCTTCTCACTCAATTTACCACAGATCTGGGGGGAAGCCTTGTGGTGGTTCCTAACATGGAACTGCAGTGAGTTTACTGTTACCCTGAAAAGCAAGTGTAAAATCTGAGAAGTTCACAGGATGTCCTTGCAAACGCAATCTGACCCAGACAGACACTTAGAGGGCAGAGGGAAATGAAAATATGGCAATTCTGTCCCACGTATTTCTTCCCTATTTCATATTTACAAATTTTATAGAACTCCAAACAAAAAGAAAAAATTCAGAAGGCCAGGATATTATCTTAGTGTATTCAGTCTTCTATTGCTTTAGTCAGCAACATTAACGACAGTTTCAAATTCAGAAGTCAGTCTTTGAACTGCAAAAAGTTCCAAAAGAAAGAATTTGTGAAGCAAAACAGATAGCTCACATCATAATTTCTTCTGAAATGCCATTTTTCCCGTTTGCCACCAATTTAAAAAATAATTATTAATTCACCTGCTTTCCCAAAAGAAGAAAGCAAGCCAAACCAAAATCAACCTAGAGGATGCAAGCCTGTTTTTCATCTTAAATATACAATTTCTTCCAGATTCACCCACTGAATACCCATAGACAGGACCAGTGGGTCCCTGACAGCTGAGTCTGCAGTACCTTGGCTGTGAGCAATACTGCAGTCTTTAATTCTCCCCACTCAGGGGAACATTACCAGTAAAGCCTGCTAGAAACACCAGCAGATCCAGTGCTGACCAGCTGGGGGTGACAGCAGTAGGAAAGCCCTTCATTTCCAGAAGACCACCTAAGAATCAGGTGGTTAAAAGACAAGGGTGGAAACCAGCAAATATTATGAACAATAACCTATGGTTATGGTAATGCCTATTGATCCTGACGTGGTATCTCAATAAAAAAAATGAAACTGAATGAAAGCACAGGACAATATAAAACAACCAAATATCATAAAGTATCATGATGAGCACAAAATTAAAAGCAGGACTTCAGGATTGTACGAAGTAACAAAGACTGGTAACTACATCATTTTTATGGTGGTGTATCTGTTTCTTCAGCAGGCATCTGATAGAGAGGAGTACAGCAAATGCAGAAAGCTATAGTAGGCTCTTCCTTTCCTTTAGGACTGGTGATAGGTGTGTTTGAGAATGACTAGTGGGGAGCAAGAGATGTTTGGTCTCGTAAGAACATATTCAATAGGTCTGTAACAGATAGGAGAGTTGCCTTAGAAAGTGGAAGCATGTAGTTGAGTGCTCAGTGGGACAGAAAAGTGGGCAAGCAAAGGAGACACAAAGCTTACATGGATGAAGCAGGCAAGCAGATTCTGCTTGTGTATCAACTATTTAGGCACAAGAGGAGCAAGATTGAATCTATAAGATTGTATCAGCTGCATAATGTAGATATCAATTTTAGTTATTAAGACAAGTAAGAATGATCAAATCCTAAAGATGTATATGAACAAGTGGTAAGATTTGATTGTGCAACCAAAAAAAGTTGGATGCAACAAATTTCTGAATTACTGAAGTGAATGATGGACAAAATGGAGCTGTTTCCATAATGACAGTGACAGGAAGAAGTGCGTAATGGAAGATATAAGATGCATATTGCAGGAACCTGCAGGAAACTGCAAAGTGGAAATTTTAAGACATTCCACTAATAGAGTTAATGTCAATATCTTAAATCTAAAATTACTGTAATTTAGCTTGGTTTATAAGAAGTACTTCTTAGACAACAAAACTTACAATATAGACAAGTATATAACAGGGAAGACAGTCATAGAATAACCTTCAGAATAATTTATTTTTACTCACAGACCCATGTTAAAATCTAAGAACAATGATACTTGTTCTTTACAAATAAAACCAGTAGACCATGTTCTGAAGTGATACCAGAGAGCTCAATTTTACTTTAATATGGGTAAAGGTTTGCCAAAAGCACTGTAGCTCCTCTGAGAGCTAAGGTGACATGAAGGACAATGGATAACCCCTTTCAGAGTAATATGGTCTACATGACTCCTATTACTTTCTTCTCCATCCTCTTCACTTGTAAATGCCTCTCGGATAAAGAAAGCAAAAAGGTAATTTTCTTTCCATTTTCAATAGGCTTTCACATTTCTCCTGATGACCATGAATAAAAAGGGTAAGCCCTTCTAAATACTCATTTCTTTTTGTTTTATGACAGTAAAAAAATAAGCAGAATCTGGCAGGAATTGTCAAAATGGTTGTACTGTTACATCCACTGGCCATGATCTACAACATCATCCCTCTACAGACTATGGCTACCAAGCACTAGGTTATGAACTAATGCAGAGACCAAGACAGACACATAAACTGATGTGTATGTGATGAATATCAGAAGCTACCAAAGATCTTGGTCGGTTGTGCTTGCATGTTTTACATGGTCTTCACAACAACTTCAGGTCACATCCTGGCACAGTTAGAACAGCAGAGCTTTTTCTAGGTTAGTGAGCATGTACTAGCTTATACTATGAAGATCTGTTCACTACTTCTAAGAGAAGTCTACCAGATTTCTTGCTAAGTTCATGAAACATTTTTACTCTGTACACTACTGCTTCTACAGAAGGAGTAGTGTACAAAAGGAGATGAGTAAGAAGGACAACTAGCAAAATGTATACTTTTAAAGGGAGCAATGACTGCAAGCAGTACCATTAGCATGAACTAAATCTCAATTAGAACTGCAGTTTTTAACTGATTAAAGGATTTGCAATTCAGACTCTAAGAGAACAATGATCGTATCAATCCAGACTGTACTCCTCCTTCCCTCACACCCTCCATCTTCCCCAAACTAAGATAACATGCAGATAGGCAATTACAATCAATAATCTGGATTAATTAACCATAATGATCAGTAACAGATCAGAATTAATTGAACTGTAACAAACAGAAGTGAATTACCTCGTCTTCGCCCATAACTCCTCGCTGCATGCAAACAAAGGACAAATTGTAAAATGTCAAATAACTGTATCATGCCCACAAACTAAAATATTTAATATACAAAGAACCATGTGGGTTAGCAGTAAGTAAAAGTCTGCATCCGTAACTGGTACTGATAAATGTAGATGAGAATACATTAAAGTGTCACATAAATACCATACTATTTTACTATTAAATTGATGTTAACACCAGCTGTAAGGAAAATTCTTTCAAATATTTCAATGTCTTTAAACTTGATCTTCACTTCACGTTAATTACGGATGAATTAATTATGGGAACTTTGCAATTCATCCTCAAAACGTGATTTGTATCTTACACAAGTGCTTAAATAAAAGAAATGGGGTACTAAAATTGTAAAAAGGTAAATACTACTGCAAAAAGCATGTAGCAAGTGTTAAATTAATCACAGACACATCCTGGTCCACATGGAACAGTTTGTACAGTCCTTTGCAGTGACAATGCAAATGCTGTAAGCCGTGACCTTCCTTTTTCATGAAAAGACCTAGCAGAAAATTAACCGCAAGGTTTTGTTTGAAACAAAAGATGCCTTGTACTAGGCAAACGAAATCAGGGCACAAGTCACAAGAAATAGCATTGTATCAAAAACACTGCACAAAGGCAAAGCAACAATTTCGCACAGACTGCAAGTAAATCCAAGATTTTCCTAACTTTTGAGTTTTGCAAGGTTCTTAAAGAGATCATGCTTGTAGCTAAAGTTCAGAAAACCAGACTGATTGCTTCTCTGCCTGAAGGCTAAAAAACTAAAAATAGACAGATTACTAATACAGAAACTCTTAAGATTTGTGTAATTTCATAGTTACATTTCCACAAAGTATTTTCTATTCCTGTTTAACAGACACAGTATCTGAGAAAAATTACTTCAATCATTACACAGTTAAGTACCCAAACAGATGTTACTATTAACCATAAGATCATAGCAACGTTTAGGAACAGACTGCTGCATCATGGCATTATTGTTTTAATTTTACAAGGCATCTATACATACAATTCCCCTAAAAGCAACTGTTGTTCTGGGCCACTGAAATACATATAGTCTCAGAATAACTGATTCATAAATATCATTCATTGTTCCATTCTCATATTATGAAATACTGCTATCCTGGTGCCTCCTATTTGATTAGGGGTTTTCAAAAATTTCATTAGATATAATATTTTTTTCCCTTTGTTAATTTTATCACTTCCAATTAGAAATTTAGTAGGCTGCTTATGGAATTCTGAAAAATCTTTCTTGTTTCTTCTCCCTTAGAACAGTTATATTTACACAACAGTCTTCCTCTTTCTATCTAACTTGCACTGAACTTGCTTTCAGATTTATTCTCTCTCATCTGAAATTATTATTGAAGAGAATAGTATCTGCTTAAAGGTTTTCAGATCCTTAAAATTTCTACTAGAAAGCCAAAACAGAAAAAAAACACTTTCTGAAAGAGACCTAGGTATCTAACCAAGTGGAAATGCTTTAATTCAGATTTCCAGCATCAAAATAGACTCCACAAACAGTGTATTCTTCCCTGTGTTCAGCTCTCTCACTAGGTGCTGGGGTGACTGATGCTGAGCTTCAGACATGTTTTCTCCCTGAAGCCAGGCCCTCAGAAGACATGCAGTTCTGTGTCAGTGCTGCAGCATGTACAAATCTCTGACTCCTGGCCAAAGTGACTCCCACATAGCATTAGCAGTAGCGTCACTAAGCCCTCGCCTAACCCCCACATGCTTTTTTTTTTTCGGGTTTTTTTTTGGTTTTTTTTTGTTTTGTTTTGTTTTTTAATTCCATCCACAAATAAAACTAGAGTAAGCAGGGAAAATTCAAGTGCAGCCCATCCACAGCAATGTCTGCAGTGCTGTGTTCTCTCTCAAAGGATAACCTAGTTATGCATACTAATATTCATCTTTCAGCACAAGTGTCAGGACACTGCTTCTCTTCTCTTCTGCCCCTTTCAGACTACCAAACCAGCTCAGCCATTTTCTTACATTTTCATAGTTAGGACAAGTTGATATGCAGAGAAGTATTTTGTTACAGAACAACTGAAGTTTTCTTCTTTGTGCATTCAAAAAAAGGCAACAGCAATTTTAATGAAAAACAAAAAAGAGTTACTAAAATGTTAAAAACACCCAATGCAGTTAAACTTAAAACAGCAGATGGTGCAGTATTTTATATATATGGGAATTACAATGATGCACCAAAGTTGCCTGTGTATTTCTTGCATCTAGAAAAATGCAAAATTTCTGTATTTATTAAAATAATCTACATATAATGTTTAACACCTTACAGAGCATGGATGCTTACAGAGCATAGCAACTGTATAAATATAGTTAATTACAGGTTTATCTATACATCTAGATTATACAGATATATTTAACATACACACAATCAGTACAAAGGTTTGTAGATAAATAATTGCAGGAAAGACAGTTCTTTTGGAAAAGGCCAGACACTGTAGGCAAATGATTGCTTTACAGCAACAAAAAAGGAGAGATTAAACTGCTTTCCTTAACTTGTCCAAATAATAAACCATACAGAGATTTGTCTTTTAGTTTATAAAGCTGGATATTTTGATTAGTGAGTAACTTGGAAAAATTTCAAATGAGTGATAATGCATGAAAGACACTTTTATTCTAGAGAGTATCCATTAGGCAACACATACAAAAGTTATATATTGTATAATGATGCCCACTTAAAACGAAACCCAGTTAACACTGGAACCTTCCAAAATTAAAGAGTGCTGTATATACAACAAAGATATCCCCTTTTAGCTAAAACCTTCTTTCTCTATGTCCCTGAAGTTGAATACTAATACAACTTACACCCATCAGAAGAAATTAAAATCCCCATTTCTGCAATGTAAATCAGTTCACAGATTTAAGACAGAAGTAAATACATTTGCTGTGCATGTTTATCTAACACTGAGACAATAGAACTGTATGTTATGTGAGTAATGCTACCACAAAGATAGCAAATGTATGGTTTCATTTCATTCAGACACATATTTCAAATACATAACCAGAGATCAAATATACACATATTGAAGTAACTCAACTGAGTGACTGAGCTGAATCAAAAATACTATATTGTGTATCAGGAGAAACTACCAGGAAAATTTCCTACAAAGGTAACTGTTAAGTTTATAGAAAGATAAAATATTGTTTGTCACTAACATTCCGACAGAATCAGATACAGACATGATGAAACCTTTTTCATTAATAATTGTAATTTAAAGAAATCCATAAACAGTTAAAGCAATAATTTCCCAGGAGTCTAAACTAAAGGAGGTAAGTGCCTAATTCCCATTTTATTCTATTGGATTTGGGTGCCCAAATTCCATTTAGATTTCTTTAGAAATAACACCTTCATAGATCTTAAGGCTGAAAGACATCGTTATGACCATTCAAGCTTAGCACACCTGAAAGACTACAGAAGTTCATTTAACAATTCCTCTATAGGAAGTTTAGCAATTCCTGTATAGGAAGTTTAGCAATTTCTGTTTGAAATAAAACAGCTTTCTTTAGAAGCACAGCCAGTTATAGCATCTCTAAGAAGTCTAATATGCTCTTGCTAAACTAATCAAATGGGGAATTATGCTTCAACAGACTTTGAAAAAAATTCAACTCATTAAAACTCTAGAAGGTGGAGGGAACCCTGTAATGGGGAAAAACACCCAACATATCCCAATAAACTTGACTCTTGCAGTATTACTTGCTTCACAAAGGTTCTCTCTAAGCTGACAAAGATGCAGTCAGGTATACCCATTCCAAAGTATCTATTTTTACTTTTGAGAGGTAACAGTCATTAAAAATGCATTACTTTTTTTACAGCTTAAGCTGAAATAGATACGAAATTACATATAATTTATTAAAACACATAAATCAAATTTCCTTTAGTTCATTTCATTAATTTAAATAATGAACACTGTAAATATTAATATTAGGTATAGTTCAGTAAGTACATTTTAAATGACTTGGAAAAAAAATCTATCATTTAAGTAGATGAAAATCTACCTAAAAAAAAGTTTTATCTATAAGTGCTTAGTCTTAAAAGGGCTGCACAGATCCAGCCTGGCTCATGTTAGAACCTTTCTGGAATCCAGAGATACCAGTTCACTAAAATTAATCCAACTAAAATTCAGAGAGGGTCAGTGTTAAGCATTAGTGTATGCATAAATGAGCAGAGGATGTTTAAAATAATTGTGATTTGCTTTCATGAAGGTCTGGTATTCCTGTTCCTCATCATAGCTACTACAGTACTTACTGAGAAATTAAGGGACAAATGAGAGTCTTTGAATTACTAACTCTTCCCAATTCTCCCTCCAAGTCACCAATTACAGAGATAGAGGGAAATGTTAGCTTGAACCCACATAAGTGGAGAAGGAAATTGAAGTCTACAAGTTTATCAACAGGTGTTCAAACCATAATTCTCATTACTGCACATTTGGAGGAAGTCCCTCAATTCCTGCTAAGAAAGAAAGGTTGTGCAGAGTCAGAGCAGCTGGAGCTTCCCAGGAGTTGTTTCCAGTGCTTCTGTTCTTGAGCTGCAAGAAGCTACAGTTAAGACGTGCCAACCTGAAGGGGCTCTGAAGAGTGTTCCTTACTGGCCTGGCCTGCACTGACAGCTATGTCAGACTCCAGCTATGTGATAGAGACTAGGCTCTGAATTAAATTCTAAAGGATGTAATTTTAAAAACTAAGTGTTGCAGCACCTTTTAGATACCCAAACTGTTATTTTTTATCTCACTTACTGAAGGCTGAAAATAATATTGCAGCTTTTAATATAGCAGTCACACTAAGTGCTACCTTAAAAAGTACAAGAGAAACCACACCAGTGTTAAAAGTAAGACACTCTTTAGCACATGTTCTAGCTTTATGGTAAGGTTTTAGGACAGACTGGTACTACTGCGTTTTTCCAGTGTCCATGATAACAACAAACCCCTTCTTTCCTAGATATTCCATGGAGTAACAATACCTCCCATGTACTTTTTTAGCATGCAAAACTCTAAAAAGAGAAGTTCACCATTCTAAGTAAAATTAAATTAATTAAAATATTAATTTCTTACACCCATCTCACTGAAATATTTCAGTTTCTCTTCATACCTTCCCATCTAACACTTCCTTGTACAGCAGCAGATAATTGCATGTATACCACCTGAACAAACCAGTTTGCAGAATAGGTCTTAAAGCTGCAGTTAAATACAGAAAGTAAAATGCTGTAAATGTTGTGACATCAAGCACATCGATATTCAGTGTAGAGGAATCAAGATACTGATTTTATTTCAATAGTTATGTACCTATTTTTTTCTTTTCAAGATACTCCATTATCTCAAACTTACCTATTCAATACCAAAGGATCTACGTCTACAAATGGCTATTGTGCAGTATTTTCCTTCACTGGGTATAAGGGTAAATCTTAACTTCCTTAAAATTTTAAACATTTATTCTAAATGTTTTAAAAAGTTAAAAATGTTTATAAAAGTATTATAAAAAAAAAAAAGATTTAAAAAAAAGGTAAAATATACATTTGTTTACAATTTATGTCCATTTGCACAAGTAAATGACTGCACAGAATGGGTAAGGCAATTAAAAAAAAAAGATCACCAAAAACCACCAACACCACCAAAAAAACGACATAATTTCAAACCGCAAAAAATGTATTCTAGACATTTTTTTTTAAGAGATCTTAACTGTTAACACTTAGACTCACCAAGTGAATGACAAAAATGTACTTTATGTGCAACAGCTTCCATGTTTTCTAATCTAGAGAAGCTGTGGCGCTACAGCTCTAATTTTTCCCAACGCAGAAAACATTTATGTGCAAAACCCCTCATTTATTATTGACTTAGATGGATTACCAAGCTGTGCTTCCTTCTTTAGCCTTGAACAAAGGCTAAAGTTCATGCCTTCACTGAGTAGCAGATGTTCATGAAGCCTGACCTACTGGGAGAGGAACATGAACATGAACTCTAACTTCAGCATATTTCACAGTTAGACACGTGCTTGACAAAAGCCACTTAGAAAAACCCCAAAAAAATAAAATGTTATTTCACATGAGTGTAATACAAAGTGTCTAGTTCACTCTTTATTTACCCAAAATAGAAAAACATGTGTTTCTATCCTTCTTATTTTTCTAATTCCTGTTCCAGTAGAACAGATTTCTAACAGCTCTTTGGAAAACATACCCTTGGTTTGCTTGAGAACAACAAAGAATAGTGCATCATTACGAGCATTTCAGATTTCCAATAAGCTAGATATAATGAAAGGCTGTTGCAAGATTAGCTCTTGCCATTCAACTCCCAAAAATGGCAACAGTCCCATCAGTGTTGAAGACTAGAGGCAAGTAATTCAGTAACAGAATATAATAGTATAATTTTATACCAACATGTCAGATTTAAGCTAAGCTAGAGATAATTAGAAACTGTTATAAGATTAGAACTTACCATTTAACATCAGAAGATTGTCAGTCCCCGGATGTGGATAATTCAAGCGACCTTAAAAGAAAACAAAAACCAAAGAACAAAACAAATGCAGAGGTTTTAGCTATTATGCTAGAAAAAATAACAAAATATCACTGCTTAGAATTTGCCTAAGGGAAATAAAGAGCTAATATTTAACTCCAAGCACATTAACCAACAATACCCTTGACCCAAGTTAAAGCTGACAAGAACAGACTTCTTAACCTTAATTCTCTGGTCATAAGATCTGCAGTGTACTTTGGGATCAGCTCCAATAGGATAAAGCCACTTTTTGTTTCATGACACCCAGAAATAGTGCTGACTGCTTTAGTCTTCTCTTTCACAGTGACTGTGAATAACTGCACTATGCACATTGCTTAACAGAGTGGCATTTCTACAGCTTAGTGCTTCTCTACTGAATCAATTTAAGAAAAATCATGTTAATAAGAAATAAGGCATGAAAATTTTATTAACTGATTTATGACTCCATCTTGGTATGCTTCATATAACCCTGGTATGTAATATTTTTCAGTAAGTCTAGCAACATTAGAGCAATTGCTTATCTACAGATTCAACAAAATTAAAGACTATTATAGATAAAATTTCCAGCATTTTAGACTGAATAAAAAAATTATTTGAAAACCTTATATCCTTACATTAGAATTTTTCCAGAATTGCACTTTACTACACCGTTGGCATGCTACACTTTAGTAGTCAAATGAATGGTTTAAAATGCACAGCTGAAGTGTCTGTTCACTACAAATTCCTTTTTATTAAAGGAGACTTTTTCTGTTTACAGGAAGCTGCAAACATATCAGTAGTGCACACTGACCTAGAGAGACATTTACAATAGCTGCTGTGTTTGGAAAAACTGTGGTTTAATGTGCAAAAAAACTGCATTGCTATCTATCTTCTTATTCAGATATATTTGCTTGCTTAAAAACTGAAGAGTATTTTATGTATATATGCATATATATATGAATACTGTGACTTAAACATGTATCTCTTTTGAAGGAAATGGGAATTCTTGTAAAAAAGAATAAAGAAGAACCCAGTCTAGAAGTAATGGGCATGTAAAACTCACATTTTTAAAGGCTCATATATATGTAGATGGCTTTCAAGAAAAAGAAACCCCAGGGGAAAAAAAAGAAAGAAAGCCAAATCAACAACCTCTATATTAAGGCTGTCTAGCAATTCTTATCATCACTCTGTTTGGTCCTCTACTGCTGGTAAACCCATGATCTTAGCAGCAGGACTAGAAATTTCTTCAAGTAGTTCTGAGTCCCAAGGGACACCTTTGGGGTTAAATAAAAACTATTTTTGTTGCAAATCTGTAAATAATAGGGTTTAGGTTTTGTTCTTCTCCTTGAAGAAATCAACATGGTAATTTTCTGTCAAAAAATAATTTGAAAATTTACACATTGGAAACTCTGAAATGTAAAACTTCAAAATAGCAATATTGAGATAATTTAGGGAATTTTGTTCAAGCTTATTTACAGGCATTGTGGCAAAAAAGATCTTTATACAGCTGTGAACTATTTGTCATCCCACAGACTTTATTATTGCAAGAATGGATGGTATCAGAACACCTGCAGATTAGGTAAGAACAATCTGCTGTTGAATTTGGAAGCACTGAAAGGCTAGGGCAGGCTCCTGGAGAAGGACAGATGAATGCTATCCGAAATGACTTTGCTGTCTTCTCTAATTTCAACAGAATCTTTGAGTAGACTTAGGCAAAATACTAAACAAAAACCTTTGCAGAAGCCTCTGTCTTTGTGTTTCTTGTCTTTGAACTGTCCAGTTTTAATATACTTTTTCTGTCAAACTGAACATCTACAGTTACAGCTGATGTATCTTGGAAATAGAAAAATTCTGCCCTTCTAGCAATGCATGCTGGTAAAAAGGCAAAGCATCAGGAAAAAGGCATCCTTAAATTGCACTCTGGGAGCTGCCACAGCTCAGCCTGGTGTGTAAGTTACTTTGCTATGTTTTTTCAGGATTTTGCTCTATCAAGGCTAATATTCATTTTTCTAACAGCAAGAATTTCACAAGATCACTGCCATATCATATTTATATACATTGCTGTAGAAATACTTGGAATAATAGGTGTTCCTTACAAATCAGAATGCTGTATTTATCAAGAATGACAAAAAAAATTGCGAGACATGATCTCAAACTTCCTTCAGTCTGTGGTGACAGTCTTTCTCCCTATCTGAATTAATCCTCTTTTCCTATTTAGCAAGAGAGACAAAGGACAGGGGTTTATTCTCTGCAATGATTTCATAAACAGAAGGCAGATTTAAGGCCTAGTAGGACAGAGAATCTCACTAGTGTAAACATCTGGGGAGGAAAACTAAAAATAAGTAAATTCTAGGTGTATAACTCTGCTTCTGCATTCTTTTGCTTTTTCCCCTTTATAGCTTCACAAATAAGCTACATCTGAAACACAGATGCCAAGCTGAAATAATGAAGGGCTTCTCACTGAGTGAAGGACTGCACCAGACAGCTGGGCCAACCACTGCAGCCAAAAACAAAAACAAGAGATGGGAGCACCATCTTGTAACAATTTACTTTGCTTCTATCAAATACATCTTTCTAGCTGGCTATTTTCACTATAAGTTGTTCAATGCATCATAAAAGAAAACTGTACCATTTTAAGAACAAGGCACAAATCCTGTCCCATCCTACATCACTGTATAGACCATTCAATGGTCTCCTAGCAGGTCCAGTGGCCTCCACCTGCTTAATAAGGTAGTTTTAATAATAAAGATGATTGAATAGTTAAAAATCAACTGCCAATTAGTTAGAAAATAGCTAATATTTAAATAATAGATTTAGTCAACTCCTGAAAAGTGTAAAGTAATTAATTCACTACCTCTCTGCAGAACTTGCCCATAGAATCCAAAATTTGTAACCTACTGCTATATGAAGTGCCAAATATTACCATTCTGTATCAGAAAGATCATCATGTTTCAGAAATTTTGTCTGTGCAAACCTGAACTTGCAACTTCACCATACTGATAATGAATAATTCTCATGTATCATGGCTAAACTGAAACTAGCACTGCTAAGAAGCAGCAGGTATGCCTGACACTTCTTATGCAACTAGAATTCTACTGACCCTAGCCTCCTCTTCCTTATCTAATTGTAATTAATATTAACAGAACTGTGTGCCTTGTGCATGTTTCTCAATGCATTCTTCTGCAAGGACAGAAAAAAAATTAAAAGCTTCAAATAAATTTTGGTGGGCCGCTTTATTCACTGAATCCACCTAAGGGTCTTGCTAATCCAAACTTGAGGAAAGAGAACAAATTTAGTTTTAGCACCATTTCTTCAATCTCATGTTACTGATAGGGGCAAAGGAAATTTAAATTTTTATAAACTTCTTGGCATACTCACTTTTTATCTTAAGGGAAATTCACATCTACTTTTAGAAATACATATTTTTTATTCCTATTTAACTAAACTGTTGGAGGAATCCCCATATATTAAAACATTATTGCTTTAAAAATTGCTGACTCACAGATCCACAAGTTTGATATTTCATGTCTACTCTCCCCCTTTTAAAAAAAATCTTAATTGGTTGTATTAAGAGACTGAGAATCAAAAACTCCTTACCCCTTCCAGGTCAAGCTTTTCCCATTAAGAGTGAATGGCTGAGGATCACAGTAGTTTCAGAAAACAGTTTTTGGAAACAGCGTAGTTAAGACAACTGCACAAACCCTTGTTTGGACAACACCTAGCTACACAAAACCTAGAGACTGCACTTTCCAATGCTTGCGTTTGAATTATGCAACTCACAACGAGGCCAAATGGATTGTCTTTGATAGTCCATGTATTCAGACAAACCAGTCTCTCAGTCTTAAATATATTCTTTTATCAGAAAAAGTTTCTATGACAGAAAGAAGAAACAATGTGTATGTAAGATTTCAAAGCCTTTTATGTGACTAGCGAGAGAATATTTTCCTCTATGTTTTTTTCCAGCCTCAGAAATTCTTTTCTTGGCACAATTTGAATTACTCCAGCAAGAAACAGTGCAGCTTTAAACTTTAGAGCTTCGTAACACAAAATATAAAACAAATGTCTTTGAAAGAAAAACAATGTTCTCTGAGCCACAATCATTACTAGAAAGAAGTTTAAAACAGCAGGTAATGAATTCCATTAAATCAGTCTTATCAATAATAATAGATATTGCACAGAAAATGTAACAACTGTTTCTAAGCTTTCTCCATAACCTGTTTCAGCCCAAATGCATTGTCTTTCCTGCTTCTTGACGGGAAAATACATTGATATTTGGGGGAGTAGAAGGAGAAAAAAGAAAAGCAGGTGTGCAAGTGGTATGTCTGAAGAGTTATACTAGCAATACCTATATCTGTCAGGCTATCAGTATTTTAGTTCTCTCTATTGTTTTAAGAACTATCATGAGAATAAAAACGGTTTTAAGAATAATGATACAAAAATGAATTAATTTAACTTCAGCTTTTATTTCACTGGAATTGGATAGATGGGACTATCTTTAACATTACTTAATGTCTTGTTATGAAACACATTTCAAGAAAGGTGCATGGGAAAAATTAGTTCTAATATGATCAGTATTTCTGCTGCAATGACTACTGAAGTCAAACATCTTCTCCCTATTACACTACCTCGAAAATATCGAAAGCTACAAAATTACTTCTCTTTTGATCATGTGTGTTGTAATGACAAAGCTTTGTCTAAGTGAAGCCAAAACTAGTAATTTATAAAAAATTTCCTGGCAGGCATAACCTTAGCTTTCAGTGAATCAGATTTGAAATCAATTTTTTTTCATGTTCATGAAAGCAAAAGTGGTGAAATTTGACTTGCTCCTAAAATGGATGCTGACATGCAAAACTTGAAGCTATGAGCTAGTACACAGACTGTCTGTTCTGCATTGTGCAAAATTTGAGACAAGATGCTTAGTCATACTCCAGATATTGTAAGCAGCTAAATCTGAAACACGTGCTTAAAATTCCAGGGACTTTCATTTTACTGCTGTGATTAGATATAAAAGATGCATTGTTTTAGTGTGCTTAGGTTTACTTGAAATCTTGTCATTAAAATATTCTCTAGTTACAAAATACTCTTCAGTTACAACAAAATATATTTTATATTAATAACAGCAACAGGTAATAATAATAATAGTCATAATAATAGTTTTCTTAATCCTGTGCATTCTGCAAGCAAATATGATGGAGTTTTAAGTAAATGTTAGATTTTCTGTGGTGAAAAGTCACAGAGACTGATATAATCAAATAAAGGTTTCATGGCTGTTAGCAAAAAAAAGGAAAAAAGGAGAGAAGTTGCTCAGAAATTACAGAAATTCCAATTAATGGTGAAAAAACATCAGAAGACAGAAGAACTAAAAGGTTTATATACCACAAGGCCTCTTCCTCCCATTTTCAGTCCATAAGGAATATTTCTTGTACCTTATTCTTAATAATGTAACTGTTTCAGCTGAAGTCACATCCACAGAGAAAAAAATATCTTACACCCATCAACTTAAATAGCAGCACACAATTACTCTATTTAAATTCAGTTGGCATGTGTATTGTTCTCTGGCACTTGATCAGAAAAATGGGTTTCCTTTGAGTTTATCACTATCTATGGCTTCCATCTGTTTTTGTTCAAACATAAAATTTAGCAGAATTTTCACTGCAAGAACATGACTGCTTAACTGTTAAAAAAAAAAATCTCTTAACTGTAGACTGGCACCATACTCTCATATCCCTAGAAAGCACAGATGGAAACTACTGAGATTTTTCAAGGTATCTACGTATGAACCGAATTAACTTTTAAATCTTAAAGTTTTGTACACCAGTCTACTGTAAGATAATGAAATATGAAGATATGAATAAAAATAAAAATTGGTATTTTCTGTGCTCACTGTGCCTCTGAAATCTCTTCTGCATTACAGAGCCAAAATTAAAACAGTGAGATGGCAGGGGGAACCGAGCAACCAATTCCATTTGTTGTGTCAGCATGTACAGAAAGAAGAAACAGACTGGTTTTCATCTTCAGGAATGAGAGAGGTGCCATTGGCAGTATAGTGCTGTAGAAGATCTGCATACTTTAGCTTTATGCCTAACAGTAGCTTTCAGACAAGTAAAGAAGTAGTAACTTCTTGAGTACAGCAAATAGAAGCAAGAATGCTCTGTAACAGGAGTGATACACGTGGTCACCTCATCTTTGAGGAGATACGCATGCTTTTAGCACACAGCAGTTACCACTGGGCAAGCTGTTTACAGATTTTAAACCTTTTGTGTTACTTAATGATGTTTTGAAAATATGTAGAATAGGCAGAAATTGAATCTAATAAAGGACTTTAACAAAATTGCTAAAATTTAATTAATTCTCTTTAGGCAGTAAAAAAGAAAACACCAGATTTAAAAACACCTAAGAAAATTTAATTTCAGCTTCCACTTACTTTAAAGTTGAGGAAAATTAACAGTTGAAGCAAATGCTACGTACTTAGAGATGTTTTGTAGAGATTTTCAGCTTGGAAAAAAACTTTCAACTTTTGACTAACTATTTTAAATCTTAAAATACCATTAAGTGCTGTCTGAATGCTCCAGGTCTTCCAACAGATCACAGAGGTCTTATGAGAATCATAAGCAGACTAGCAAGAGAGAACAACAGGTCCCTCTGTGTTAATGTAATGTATAGTAAGTATAAGAGCTGCTAGAAATGGAGAATGGATGGGAGTAAATAATGCTGCAAAAAAACTGATTGTTTTATTTTTTCAATTGCTTCAATACAGAGATTTAATTTCTATGAAGCAAGCCTGAAGTCTTGTATAATTTTAAAATTAGATTGTGTTAGTCTAATTAGAACACCACAAATGAAGTAACAGCTGATCAGTCCAAGTGAAACAGTCTGGGTTCCCTGCCCTGATGCTCAATAGTAAATGCTACCTGAGAAAGTATGGAAGAACATAAGTCACAAGAGTGAATTAATGTACAGTGAAAAAAGGAGTTAAAATGGAAGCCCACACATGATAGCTGTACGCTCACTGCTGTGGCAAATGATTTAATAGAGCCCAAGCTGTAAGAGGAACCAGCATTCTAAAGCATTTCTGGACTTCTTTAGACTGGATGCCTAAGTATCCTCCATAGATTTGAAAAATACACTTAAAAAGACAAAACCTGATTTTTATCAATGGACTTAGTTTTCTTTTCAGCTTCCACAGCAGAGAAAGGGAATATTATCTAGCAACACTGGGAATGGTTTAAGTAACTGTGAAACAATGTTTTCAGTAAAAGATAGCTTAAGACTTTTCATTTGAGTGAGAAAACAGTTCATTTGCCAATTTAATATGAACCTTGCATCTAAATTAACAATCAGTATTAATTCAAATATGCAGAATGGCTGACCCTTTTTTCTTTATTTAGCATAATAACATACCTTTAAGTGGATCATGCTCTGCTCTCATAATGTCAATAAGGGAGTTTTCCAAAGAGTGCATATTCAGACTGTCATACATTCTATTTCGATCCTAAAAGAAAACAAAAGCCTTAGTATTGGAATACAGTTTCTGTAGTTATTCACAAAAAACTTGACAGGAAAACACAGGTTCCTTCTAACAGCTGCCCACTCGCTCTGGAGATGGACAATGATACAAGGTAAGGTGTGATTTTATTAACTAATTTTAACAGCATCCAAATACTAGAGACTCAGTGTGAAGAACTCTGTGTGATGCAGTGTGAACAAGTACTGTGTATGCATTTGACAGCCTGTGATTGCCTGTTTCCTTCAGAACTGCTTGAATCAGTTCTAGCAATCCACAGCACCGTTATGCATTAGGCTGATTAATGAAGGAGACTAATGTCTGTAAGAGTTCAATTTCATTTCATGCACAAGTACAATAGTGATGAAGGTGGGGAACTACAGGACAAGAACAGTCATATCACATAAAAGAGAGCACTTTCTTGGTCCTTGATCAAGTGCCTGGCATGGGCCACGAGCCCCTGTGGAGGCTGCGCTTGTTCGCTTTGGGGCCTTTGCATACCAAGACTTGAGATACAAATGGTCAGCATTTAACAGTTAAAGAGTGGAAAATGAAAGCTAAACTATGAAAAGGAAATGCCACCTTTTCTTACTAATAGATTATCAGCCTTATAGAGGACAATTTCCTTTACATGTGTTTATTAAGAAGCTACTGTACAGCCTTTATAAATATTTTTATTAACAGCAATAAAAGTTATTGCAATGAACTAGTTTTCACCGATTTTGTTTTATCCAAGCCATCTTCTCCCATGTTTTCCAATATACCCAAGTTACAGACACAGAAAAAATGTTACTTTTAAATTCTTTGGTCTTTCTGGGATACCTTTCAGAAACTGAAAACAGTGTAAAACTATAATCTCCTGCTTTCAAGGCTTCTAGCTAGACTGCACTGCACTTAAATCCTGTAACAGTGCCTTAATTTTACTGTTGTCTTCGGTTTTCACTATAGTAATTCAGCAGAGTAGGATGAAATGCATCATATACATCTCATGACTGGTGAAATTACCTAAAGGTAAAGCCATCCACTTAGTATGTATATAATAGGGACAGAAGATATATGATCCATACACACTGTGACTTTCTGCGACCATTCAGCAGAACCATAGATTCATTTCAAACTACACCCCTCAGCAAATGGTATTATTCTTCACATTGGAGGAGTAAAAAAGCAAGCATTAGAACAGACTTTTCTATGAATTGCACACTATGGCTTATGATCAGCTTTGCCAGAATGAAACCAGGGTTTTACTTTCATCTCTTAAAAAGTTGTATCTTAAAAAGTCAATGTCAGAATGAAGAGGGAGAAGCCTTTATTCCCACCTCTATCTCAAACAACTATTAAGAGTAATGGGTTCTTGTTGGGTAAACAATTGGCTAAAAAATAAAGAATCTGATTAAATTAGTATTTCTGGAAGCCCTTGGACAATTCTACTGATAAATTTAAAAAGTAGGTTTCTCTTGACTCCTGCCAGACCAAATGCCACTGACACTTTGTGAGGCAATCTTCAACCTGGTTTGAGTGCCAACAAGTCACCAGCACTATTTTAGTTCATAGTAACCTTTATTTTGGGACTGGCTGGCTTTTATTCAGTTTAGTTGCCCTGAGAACCACCAAATGAAACTGAAGTGACTAATCTGCCTCTGTGCCCTTACAGGTTTATTTCTCAATAGCACAATGAAAATAACCTGCTTAGCACAGCAAAGTTGCTTTCTATAGAAGGTGTGAGCAGTGACCAAGCTGGATCTGTTTCCTACTGTCCCCTAGCATTCAAAAAGTATCTCATCAGGACTGTTAATGAAGTCTTAAATTCTGTTTACGGCACAAGTTGGTAGGTAGTCAGTGCTCTTGCAAAAACCAACGCTGAGTAAAGACAAAACATGCTTTGCTATCTTTGTAGCTGATAAGGCAAAAAAACCAGCATTGGTAAAAACCAGACTGAATTGTATATGGTGTTTTATCTTTGTAACAGGCTCCTTACATATTTTCTTTTTTCCTTTTTTTGAACACTGCCACATACATATGTGTTGAAATAACACATGGCAGTCCGGCAAACGGTCATTATTACAGACTTAATGACGCTCAGTGGAGCAGGTGTCTGTAAGAAAAGGCTCAGCCACGGTTAATTCCTAAAACTGGGCTACTTGGTCCTAGATCTTACAGAGAAATGGAGAAGAAAAACATTAAACACATGCTTGCAATTTATTTGTAAACTGCTCTACTGGATGACATCTAATTTCATCATTCTATTCTGAAAGTTCTACATATCTAAAGTGAAAGGTCTTCCTCTGCTAGAAGCAGAAAGAATAATAAGCTTTTCCCATCCTTTTTAGAAAGTTTGTGGTTTGTTTCCTTGAATTGTATTACTTAATTTTGGGCAGTAGAAACATACAATGGGCCAACACTGCACAATATCAAAACGTGAATACACTGAAGTACAGCAGGATTTAAACACAGGGATTGCATTCTGCTATCCCACTACCCCCACATCACACTACCCACTCATGAGTTTGGGTAGTATCTTGGTAATCAGTGCCTCAAAATTTAATCTCTATTCCAAATGACACTGATGAATTGCATGCTGTAAAGCAACATTATCTGAAATTTAACTGTCTCTAAAGGAGAAAGTAATTCTTTGGGTACAAGGTTCATTTTAAACCTTTCTGCAGCTTGGCTTTATAATGCTACAACACGGCTTTGAGTCCCCAAAATATGTATATCATATCTTTCAAGAGAACAGTTATCTATGCTGAAAGGGAGCTTTAATTTCAAAGCAGAACTCAGAAGTATTTAAGTAATGTAGGTCACACACCAGGCAGTATTTTCTAGAAAGGTCTGCTGAAACAGTTTTACTACAGCAGGAACTACTAAATCAGAAAACTTCCATTATGGTTTTGGTCAATTTTTGGGACAAGCATAAAAAAGCACTACCATGGAAAGCAATTAATGTTCCAGATCTTCATTCATGTGGAAACAGTCCCAAGAATTAGGATTAGCTTTAGTTTCATTATTTCAACACAACTAATAAGCAGTTATCTTCTAAAACAACCTGGACCTACTTTTAAAGCAACATGGAAGTAGTCCCAAAAATTAGAACTATTTCTATGTTGTCTTAAAGATAGTACCAGATTGTTTTGGAAGATAACTACTTATCAACCAAGTTGAAATAATGAAGCTAAAGATAATCAGTAGTGCAAAGGCACTGATTCCTAAACATGTATGTTAATACACATTTTCTATCATCCTGACTCACGAATCGTCAAGGTTGAATTCCTGTTAAATATTTTTAATTTTCTTCAGCTCTGTGGTTCATCAGAGTCCTGTGCTAAGAAGCAAGTGAACTCTTGTTGTGTCAAAAGGTCTGTACCTCAGTGGAATGCCACAACATAATGCTGGCTTTTTCCCCTCAGAGCTGATAGTTAACTTGTCCCAAGTGTTACAAATTCTCAGACTAGTTTTTTACTTTTAACTGTCTAAATGTTTGAATCCTGCTTGACCTACCTTTCCCGTATCAGAATCCCAACTACAGACTGAGTGATACGGTTAAGTAAAAAACTGTCTATGTAAGGAAGTTTACAGAAAAGTGGTAGTTATTTTAGGAATAGGAGAAGCACAAAGTATTCTTCCCACACAATTCAAGTGCTAGAAGGAGCTTTTGACAATGTCATGCAAAGTACAGCTTAAGAGTATGCATTTGAGTAGTCCCCAAGCCATGCATCTGAATATGCATGCGTGAATGAGAGGAGGGCAGCTTTCTCTGAAGAGCAAGTTTCAGTACTAAACTCATGAACAAATAGTTTTTCTTGGCACATTCTATTTAGGACTTCTATATATACCTGTGCAATTTATGCAAAGATTATCCTGTTTGAGCATTTGCAAAAACAGCAGTCACATCTCTAAGCTTATATATTGTCTCTTATGCATAAACCAAATACAAGGACCGAAGCTATTGAGTGGTGAATAGTTTTGCTAATTTTTAACCACAAACACTATTCCATAGTTAAGAAGTCTGACACCTTTGAATTTTGGACACATGCTTTAAACTACTGATTTGTGGGACTACTTGAAGTAAAAAACTAGAATGCTAACACAGGTATTAAAATCTGTCGTATCTTTAAGAAATGTCTCTTCATATTGTAAAGAAATATAGCACCATGGGACAGGAGCTGAAGACGAAAATCATAAAGCTTATACTCATTTCAAGTATAGTCTTACTTGGCTGCAAAAAGGACTCCAACTTTAACCTTGATGAATTAACTGAGTTTGTTAAATGCTAAATTAAAAACACTTTTTAAAACCGCTTCCCCAATTAAAATGTTAACAAGTTCCATTTTTTCACTTTAAACCTGACCCCTGTATAAAAATGTGCTTTATGACTAGAAAGTGACAGCTGATTTAGTAATCAAGTATACACACTTTAAAAAGTACCTCAATATAGTATTCAGTGTTAATGTTACCAGTAGTAACAATTCCTATGTACATAATCTAAAATATCTCTGCTAACATCTAAATTTCAAATCATTCTCATTTTATTGTGGATATACTATAATCATAAGCCCCTTGTAGAAACCATAACTAGTGTAAATGAGAAACTTAATATGAAAACCTACTGAAACTACAATTTTAGCTCTATAAAAAAGCAAGGAGGAAGGCTTAAAGTCAACACATAAAATTGCTTTGTTACTTTGCACAGTGTCATTAGTGGTAAAGATGAACTAAAGATGTCTGGTAGACAACTGTGAATGGCCAACTTGACAACAAAGTGTTTATAAAGTTAGAATGACACAATCTGCTACCTAAACTAAATAAATTGAGCCTAAAACGCATCAAGAACAGGTCCTGTGGCAAAGACATACCCACTTCCCAGCTACAAAAACATTTAAAAATGAACAAGAAATCCCAGTACTGGAGTACTTCAACTTAAGAATATGTATTCATAGCCTGGAAAAGAAAACAGACTACGGGGATGATTAAAGTCTTGGCAATCTTGA